TCCTGTCCTGTCCTGTCCTGTCCTGTCCTGTCCTGTCCTGTCCTGTCCTGTCCTGTCCTGTCCTGTCACTCATCTGTTCTTTGCCAGAGAGCGATGATGGCGGGTGCAGTTCCAAGTCTGAACACTAGTGGCGCTAATGAATCAAATAGGAACGTCCCGCATGAATCAAGAAGTCATTTGAACAATCCTGCAGAAAAAGTCCTTCAGCTGACAAATGATGGCTGGATTTTCTCACACACAGTGTGTTTGAGAGTATTTTATCTATGTACAGTAAAAAATATATGAAGGAGAATTTACTGTGCAAGCTTTTTTAAATTACATTACATTAGAAGTGTTTGAACATATGAGACAAATGTGTACACCTTACCAAAACTGGGAATTTATGTACAAGGATGTGGAACAAATATTTGTCCCCTCTATGAATATTGTGACCCCTTGTAGGCCCCTTACTCAGAAAAATCCTCTCCACCACTGATTTCATGTATTCTTATGTATTTTGGGATTGCTTTCTAGTTGTTTTTGATGTGCATATCTCTATTTATTAATTTATTTGCCCTTTCATTTTGTTGATTAATTGTTATTTCTTTTATTTTATTTATTTTATATTTTTTGTGAGTAATAGCCTCTATAATTTCAAACTACCATTATTCCCCAAACTACCCTATAACACCACCAGTCTTAAGACCAGTGACTTTTTTTTTTCAGGGGCGGCTGTGGTGGAGCGGTTAGGGGAGTTGTCCTGTTACTAGGGGGTTGCAGGTTTGATCCCCTGTTCCATCTGTCTCAGTCGTTGTGTCCTTGGGAAAGATACTGCACCCTCCTTGCCTGCTGGTACTGGTCAGAGGGTCTGCCAGCGCCAATGTATGGCAGCCCCATCTTTGTTATTGTGCAGTGGACAGCTGTGGCTACAATGTAGCTTACCACCATCAGTGTGTGAATGTGTGTATGGATGGGTGAATGATTGAAGTGTAAAGCACTCTGGAGTCCGTAGGGACTTGATAAAGGTCTATTTAAGTTCAGACCTTTTACCAGCATGTTGTGGTTACTATTGTGTTGTTAAAAAAAAAGGTTGCTGTTCAGTTTTAACATTTATAAGCAGTGAAGTTTGTACTTTAACAACAGCAGCTTCCTGCACACTTTGCCCATTTATAAAGAGCAGCCATGCTTATTATAAAAGTCATGTTTAGAAAAGAAAAGGGACAATTATAGGACGGTTTCTGAACCATTGTTTCTATAATTCCAGTATCACTTCTTTTGGCATCTGTCCACTGGTAAAATATAGAACAGGGCAAGGGCTATAGTGACCACCACTTCACCTCCTCCTCCTCAGCTTCTAGCTGCACTCTTTGCTGTAATTCCTGTAATCTCACTTCTCCTTCCATCTGGAAGCTTCTACTCTTCACCTGTCACCTCGTGACCTTTCACCTGGCCCTGTCAGAGGTCCACACAGTGGCTGCCCATCACCTCACTCACCTGACACGTCAGGATTCAGGAAAAGTCTGCCATAAATTTATTCAGACTCAATTCCACAAAGCAGATTAGAAACAAATTAGATTTGAGCGGGCTAGACTTTGAATAATTACAGCAGATAAAAAGGTCACGCTTCAGGTGCAGACTTGTCTTTTACAGGGTAAAACCGATGGATATGTTTATGGGAAAAATGGAAACAAAATTAAAACCCTGAACTGCGGTACACAATGTGTAGAGCTGTGAGGTGATGAGCTGCAGATGGAGGCTTCGTGCTGCAGGGAACATAACTAAATGTTTTCACTCACAGAAGGCTCAAACCTTTTGCATCATTTTTTAATTAAACTAAAAATAAAGTATTTAATAGCAAATCAAAACAAATTTTACCCAATTTCTCAGTTTTCTAATGCCTGTTTTTCTTACTGGTATATTAAAAAGTTAGATGCAATAATTTAAACTGATGCCAATAAAAACTTATTCTGTTTTTGTTTTTAATTAAAGAAACAAACTCATCGACTGAAACTTTCTGGACATTAATTAGTCTCTAATAGATTGAGGGGAGAGGTCAGCATACACTTTAACCTCTGGCTGTCATGACGTCTGCCACTTCCTATGGCCTCCTGCTCCCCAGCATCCTGCTCCACTCTTCCCTGTAAATCCTGTAATCCCCACATCGCCTTCTATCTGGAACCTTCCCTTCTTGGCCTAGCACCTCTGTGACCTTTCACCTGCACTTATCACAAGTCCCGACCGCGGGTGCTCATCCTCTCATCCATCCGGCCCGGGATCAGTTGTGTTTTTTACCAGGTCACATTAGCTCGTGTCGGTGCCTTTGTGTTGTCCAAAGGATTTGCCTGCTTTCACATTGCCCGGCGTGAGCTTAAAAGTGCTGAAGGCTATTCTTACCATTCCTGGCCTGCCCATGGTCCTTTGCGGCCAGCAGGAGCCAATACGAGGACTCTCACCTCACTGCTTCTGACATCATCTCATCTTCCAAGCAATTCATCAGACACATTCTGAACAAAACCTTTATATTTCTCAGGACATGTCGTTAATTTCAGTGTGGTGAAAGATTCAGATTCTCATGTGTAAACAAAAAAGCTGTTGAGAAGCTTTGTCGCTCTGGAATAAGCTTTGTTAATTGGCTTACTAAACTTTAGGAGTAGCATGAGTTCTTTAAAATGATGCTACATATAAAAAGGAGTTAACAATAGGATCATATTGTCACTAACTAAAATCTACAGCACTTAAGGATCATTTTGGTTTTAATTATTAGCACTGATTGAAGATGTCTGTCATTATTCTGTGTTTTTCTTGATGTCCTAATTCTATTAGAAGGATTAGTGCCATCACAACAAGTGTGAAAAATGTGCAAACTTCAGCACAGACTGAGCCGTCACCAAATGCTACCTACCCAATAGGCTTGCGTGAGCGATGGAAGTCTTTCAGCACCCTCTCCACATCATTGTGCAGTTTGCAGTCTTTGCCATCCTTCATAAAAGAGGATCTAAGGAGTCAAGAGGTTTTGCAATCAGTGGCACATTATTTGACCATACCGGAGTTTTATCTACTTTTCTGGTCTCCCTCACAGGTTTTTGATGATCCCATGGCCTCCGGGAAAGATAACAGCGTCAAAGCTGTTGGCGTCCAGCACGGACAAGTCCTGCATCTGCATCTTCCCCTGACCGTGACTGAAGCGAGCCGACTCCATCATCATGTTCCTGTGGAAAGGCCAGACGCAATCAGAAACACTAAATGTTGCAGAAAGTGTTGGGCCCGTCTCGTGAGCCCAGTCCCCGTGTGGTTCCTACCGGTTCTCCCCTGAGGCGGGCTGATTTTTCATGTGATCCATCACATGCATCTGCTGCTGGTTGGGAGCGAACATCTGGAAGCGAGCGCCGTTCCGGCTCAGGTGGTACATGGTGCTGAGGAGAGGAGAGGTCATTGATCATCTCAGTAAGGTGATACAATAACAGTGGTGGGCAGCACTAATCTAAAAATTAGTTCCACTAGCCCTAAAACACTAACTCTATTGTTTAGGTCCCCTAATTCTAAAGCACTAATAACCGAGTCAACCCATGAATATTCTTCAACAGACAACATGAGTCACATGTTGCTCTCTTAAAACTTATCATTGACATTCCACAGTTGTATTTGGGTTCATATATTGTCACCTGGTGGATCAGTGACACATAAGAACAAAATCAGTGACAGCTTTCACCATCAGCTGTTGACATTATCATTGATCAATAACATTTATAGACCTCAGTTAGTGCTTCTAAATTTAGCCCATAAATTTAGCAAATGCTAATCCACTAATAAATTATAAAATTAGCAAAAGCCCTAAAGCACTAATCAGGAAATTAGTTCCTCTATTAGTGCTTTAGGGGAACTGTGCCCACCACTGTACAATAATAATGTGAAAATCCTGATGTGTTGATACTCACTACACCCCTTCATGGACATCAGTCCCATCCCACCATCCACATCCTGAGAAAACCTGGAATGCATGGATGCACACAGTGACAACACTGCTCCCACATAAATAAACATAAATCCCACTGGATAAATCAAAACTGAACTTACCACAGCAACATTGGTGTTGCCCCAGTTGCCATAATCACCCTGATGAACGAAACATGCAGGCTGGCGAGAAATGATGGCCATAGCTTTCTTTGACAGCAAAGTCCTGGTTGCCAGCATGGTTTTTGCGTTAAGTCTCACGGTTTCAGGAGGAAAACACGAGTTTGGAGTTTGCAGCGGAGCCTGTGAAGACTTCTTACGGAGCAGACATTGATGTGACTGAGCCTGTCTGTATATATACCCCCAGAGCACTGCCAAGTGACGTTCCCACATAAGCTCCATTGTCTTTTCACGTCTTGACTTATTCCTTTCTTGAACACCCTTCCCTATTAATACTGCGTTAATTCTGATCACCTTAAGTCATTTGGCCACAAAGAGAAACTTCAGCTTCGGTTAGAATCCTAACCCATTAGGAGTCTGGCACTTGATGGGGTGCATTCATTAGGAAACGGTGCACAACACCATTATACAGCCATAGTGGCATACCATTTGCCCTTTAAAGTCCATTAGGTTGTAAGGCTCTTACTCTCCGTAATGCCATGTTGCGTCTAGACAGTAAACCCAGAAACACCTTGAACAGAAGGGAAAAGTCACTATTAGAGCAAAACTACAGGCTCTATTTAAGAAATCAACAGGCGAAGAAAGTAAAAAAAGCATCTATTAAATTACAGATGAACAGCAGGAGACAGTATATGGCATTTACTTTATTATGGCCACTTTATGTATAAACAATGGTTATTTACATATAAGTGAAGAAACTACAGTGAGGGACAAAATGTAGTAAGTGATTTGAAACAGAACAATCAATGTACAACCAATTACAATCACTTCAGCCACTAATTTAACCCACAGCAGGAATCTTATGTTGGATCTTCACACAAGATTCTGACTGAATCTGAAAAACTGACAATTAAAACTGATGAATGGGGAAACATACTGAAATTTTCACTCATGGTATTCACAAGATTTTGTTTCTTTTTAAAAAAAAATCAAATACAATTAACATGACATAACTGACTTATGAAGTGAGGTTTGTTGCTGAAAACATCTCCTTCCTGTATGACCACCAGCTCGCAACACATTCTGTAGGCGTTTCTAAACACACACACACACACAAAAAAGTGCCACATTTTGAAAAGTGTTCCTAGTATTTCTAATACAAAGATGAACCTACAGTGACTGATGCCTACAAACAAAAGGAAAACAAACATAAAAAGACAGCACATACAATAAATAAGGTCCATTTGTTATTTTATATAAAATAAATGCTTAAAACAATCTTGTCAGTGTACACAGATCTCTGCATTTAGGATGCGTAAAGAAAAAGCAGACATACACAAAAACACCAAATCAAAATCAAAAAGCTCCACCCAAGTCCAATCACTTCAACAGCTGACCGCATTAATTCAACAACAGCACAGATCGGATGTGGCTGCTTCCTCAATGAGCATAGGTAATACTCTCTGCAGTTTATTTACCTTTACATGTAAAGACCAGACCCTAAAAGCCATTTACATGCAAATCACTAACCACTCCAGTGGTGAAAGTAAGAATTATCTCCTAAATTGCTGTCACCACTAAAGATTTCATGCACCCCAAGCACTGTCATTCAATGAAGCTGTGCACACACTGTGTTCATTGCCAAGAGTATTTGGAAAGGTATCCATTTAAAGAGTGTTGTTTGCACACAAAGCAAAGAGCTGAGAGAGAAACATGTTTTGCAAGGCCAGTCTGGTGGGATTAGGGCGTGTAGGCTGGAGGCGGCTGAAACTGATTGGCAATGTCATAATCAGTGGGAAAAGTCTCGCTGCTGTCCTCCATCTCCGAGAGCAGCTCTAAAGCCTGCTCCTCCTCCTCGGTGGGGTAGTGGCGGAGGAGGTTGGCGGCAGTGGCGAGGATGGACGCGCCGCCCGCACCTGCCACCAGGTAGAAACTGATGGCGAACGTGACATAGATGAGGGAGCCATGATACTTTTTGTGCTGCTGCTGGAGTGACAAGATCAGTTCTGAGGCCCAGTAGCAAAAGCCTATGACTGTGGCACACTGCAACACTGGGGAAAAAGACAGAAGACAAAGTTGAACCAATAAAATTATGCTGTTTCACCTAGAAATATGATTTTTTTAAAAAAGGAAAACTTCAATACTATATAGGCTTGTACCTGTGAGTATATGTGCAAAGGCATATCTACGAGTGATCTTCAGGGCGGGGTGTTTGGGTCCAAATACATCCAATAAAAAAGCAGTTAGACTGCACAGGATGCCCAGGAAACAGAAAGCAGCTATGACTCTCAGCAGCAGGATGGTCTGTGGGTTCATGCAGTAATCTGTGAAGACAAACACCCAAAACACACATGGATTACCACAGATTATTCTAGATAACACTAATGTTACATAGGTGTTATGAACCTCACCATCCAAAAGCTTTGGATCTATGTAACCCAGGACATCTGCCACTCCCAGCTCTTGCCTGGGACAGGTACCCCCATGAACACGGAGCCAGGCCGGTTCAGCCAGAGCCGTGCAAAGCGCTGTGATGGACAGCGCTCCGGGCAGCGCCGACACCAGACTCCGCTCCGGTTGCTTGGGTAGCGATGTGCCCGCTCTCCTCCTCCTGCCTCCAGGTATGGTAGAACCCGGCGGAGCGTACATGACGGCGGTAATTAAATCAGTATAGCTTTCCTTGAGCGGTACTACTCTTCCTGTCACTCCCGTTTGAGGTACAGCCGACTCACCGAGCACCGGCAGTCGGTACAGATGGGATTACCTGGAAGACGAATGGATGACAGCAGTACGGGTGCCCTGTTCGCTTAGAGTATTATAATAATCCCCAAAACACAGCTGCTTGACAAAAACGGTGTCTGACTTATGAGGAAGTAATGTACAGATGGCCTTCGGGCCTGTTAGCTGTGTTGTTAGCCTGAGAAGCTAACTAACAATAAACGCCAATTTTAAGAAATTCCTGGGACAAAAATTAAATCAATACAAAGAAACTTTAAAAATTCTAACCTAAAACCTAATCTTTACAATTACAATTAATAAAAATATAATAACTTTGGTACGGGAAAAACAAACACAAAACAAAACAAAAGACAGCCTACGCTGGTTTCCTCTTAAGCAGCGACTTCCTGTTCCCACATCTCTTCTTCGTGGCTTCCGTAGGCGTCATGCTCACGAGCGCTCTTGTGACCATTACTCCCACCTATTGGTGGTGCTCCTGTAAAACCGCGATAAATTCAATCTTTGTTTTACATAATTTTCTTTAGATTTTTATTGCTATCACACTGTAACAATTGATAGCAGCTGAATTGTTTTAATGTAAATATGATCAGTTTCCAAGATAAGACAGAGACCCACAATGCAACGCGTCCAACTTCCGAATAGCAAATATGGCGGCATTTCTTTAAGGATGTTTCTGTGAACTTTTCTTCTTGTTTTCTTCTAAAAACATCTCGTATTTTCTCAGTTTTCCTCATATTAACAGGCGATTAGGAACCTGGTGCTGCTGATTTTTTTACTCTGCAGGTTGTTACAATTTTCTGTCGGGATTTTTTAGGTGAAGAAAAAGCTGACTTAAACGGGCGTTGAGTATTATTTGATATTTGGTCTCAGCCATGAAGGAAGCTCTGACACTGGTTCACAGATTCGGCGCACACCCGGACTCTCGGTGCTGGTTCGTCGCCTGGAGCCCGAACGGAACGCTGCTGGCTTCATGCGGGGGTGACAAGGCCGTCCGGATATGGGGACGAGAAGGTAACTTCAAACCAGCATCAATAAAATTATTGGAATCCAACCTAATCCTGACCCCTTGCCCTAAACATCAACCAAACTTAATAAATACCTTAGCCCTAAACCTAACCCCTGACCGATAAGTGGGGGGTTTCCCTTGTGGACTAGGCAAAATGTCCTCACAAAGATAGCAAGACATGTACACACAACGAGGTTCCTCTCCTTTTAATTGAAAAATAGTTAACATTTTAAACTCTAATAGTCATTTTTGACATACTTAAATATTTTAGTAAACTTTCAATGCTGTAGTTAGCATATGTATGTAGTAGGGGTGCAACGATACAGAAAATTCACGATTCGGTTCTGTTCAATACTTCAGTCTCACGGTTAGATATTTTTTCGATACAAAAAAATTAATTTCCATGCCCTTTTTAAATTGTAATTTATTTAAATTAATTATGACCATTTGCTTAACCTCAAAAGAACAGTTTTTTTTAAATAAATGTTGAAACAGCAAGTTTCTCAGTGGATCTGCGCTCAAAAATGCAGCCTAGGTGGAGTAGTCGAACACAGATCCACTGATCCTTCAACAAAACATCTTCAGAAGACAAGTCGATAAAATAAATTTAAAAATCTGTATTGTTCGATACAAGTGTGTATTGAACCTAAAGCACTGTATTGAACGGTTCGATACGGGTACATGTATTGTTGCACCCCTAGTATAGCAAAATGACAGCTTGCTATTTGTAGAGGTGTCGTATATCTTATGTCACGTAGCCAAATCCACCTCTAACTTTGTACAAAGGCTTTAATTTAATGAAATAATTATTTTCTTTATTATAATTCTTGTGGTGAAATGATTACATTGGCATCACTCGTTTTTCAGGGGACTCCTGGGTGTGTAAGTCTGTTCTACAGGATGGACACCAGCGCACTGTGAGGAAGGTGGCCTGGTCTCCCTGTGGGAACTACTTGGCCTCTGCCAGCTTTGATGCAACCACGTGCATCTGGAAGAAGAAAAATGATGACTTCGAGGTAAGATGAGACCGCTCGTTTAGTCTGATGTGTTTAACACTGTGGAGTTTTTCTTTTAAACAGATTTAATCTTGTCTTCTAGAGTTTGACAGTGTTGGAAGGACATGAAAATGAGGTCAAATGCGTGGCGTGGGCTCCTTCAGGGAATCTCCTGGCCACGTGCAGCCGAGACAAGAGTGTCTGGGTTTGGGAAGGTATGTGTTTCCCTGCACTTTGAAATCAACCGTAGGTCTTCGTTGGTTTCTAAACTATTCCTTTGTCCTTCGCAGTGGACGAGGAAGATGAGTACGAGTGTGTTACGGTTGTGAACTCCCACACACAAGACGTGAAGCACGTTGCGTGGCACCCGAACCAAGAGGTAGGCCGAACATCTGCGGACCCAAACATCATCCTGGTTTGTCCATCACCGTCTAACTTATCGTTTGCTTCCTCAGCTCCTGGCTTCAGCTAGCTACGACAACAACATCTGCATTTACAAAGAGGAAGATGATGACTGGGAGTGTCGGGCCACCTTACAGGGACACACGTCCACGGTTTGGAGTTTGTGTTTTGATGCGACCGGACAGAGGATGGCCTCCTGCAGCGATGACCGCACTGTGAAGATTTGGAAGGAATTCCCCAGTGAGAGTGGTCAGCAGGATTTAGAGCAGCACCGACCCTTTTGCCATTGATGAAAGCATCTAATTCACATTTGTTTTTGCTGTTTATTAAAAGGTGACTTGTCCTGGAAGTGTGTTTGTACTCTCTCTGGGTATCATGGACGAACTGTGTATGATGTTGCCTGGTAAGACTGAACTTATTGTGACTGTGGTGTACTGATTCGTTGGTCTCATGTTTTGTGGTTAAATTAGAGCTTTTCTAGGTTGGGTGTCACCAACTTTAAGAACCTAAATTTCTCATCTTTACTCATACCTAAACTGCCTTTTGTTCAGGTGTCGACTGACCGGCGCTCTGGCAACCGCCTGCGGTGACGACGGAGTTCGAATTTTTAAAGAGGACGTGCCGGCTGGTTCAGATGAGCCGGTGTTCTCGCTGGTGGCTCAGGAGACCAAAGCGCACAGCCAGGATGTTAACTGTGTTTCCTGGAACCCGAAGGAAGCCGGACTGCTGGCCTCGTGCAGCGACAATGGAGAAATTGCCATTTGGCGTTTCAAAGACGACTGAATCCCTGACACCTGAGCCCTTTTATGATCTTGAATGTTACACTGGGAACATTGTGGCCTTGAAAGCAACACGTCTTTGTTTTATAGCTGGTTTGATCGCTGGATTTTTCTTTTTAATGCAAAGTTTTATTTCAGGTCAGCTTTTATGTTTAAAAACTGCTGCAGTGCTTTTGATTCTACACCCTAAAAATTATATGTAAATAAATATTACAAAATAAGATTGTTTGCGGTATCTTTTTATTTAAAAAAATGGTTTCAGACTGACTCACAAATCCACAACATGACAGTGCTTTGTTTTAATCTAGCCTGTGATCTTTGTTTAAACATTCTGAGAAATAAACTTGAATTTAGATCAAATACAAAGTTATAATTTCTACACTTGAACAGTTGCTTCATTGGTTACACCCACACAGACTGGTGTATCTAGTAATTTGATTTTTAAAGAAAAATCCTGTACACAACTTCTGGCCTGATGTTCATCATTGTGATCACTAGAAATGGAAAAACTCCTTGAAAGAAGCAAATTCATCATGTGACGTGCTTACAAAGTCAAAACACATATCAAGTTAGATATCTACAAGTAAAAATACCCCCCACACTTTGATTCCCACTTTTAAATGACAACAAACTGAAAGGAAGCTTCTGTTTAGTCTGAGTCACTTTCTCCCTCGCTGTCGGCCTCCTTCACATCAACGCTGAACTTGTACTCCTGGTCACAACCCATGTATGCGTCACTCATGAAGTACAGGGTGTAGTTGTGAATGCCCATCATGGGTGCAACAAAGTCCAGCTTCACCTGTAGAAAGAAAAAAAAAAACACAAAACTGAAGCCATCTGCTGGTTTAAAGAGCACTTATATCCACAGGATCCTCTCAGTGCAACTCTGACCTTTGCTTTCTGCTGAAGAGTCAGCCTCTTGATGGAGATCAGACTGTTAGATTTGGGGTCTCCAATGACCACCCACCAGCCCTCCTCACGTTTCTGCAACAAAGAAATACCACAAGAGTTCATTTTCATGCCGATCCAAAAGAACTGACTCAAAAATGTAATGCAAGTGACCTGTGGGAAGAGGGGTGCGATCACAGGACCAGTGACCTCCTCCTCTCGCTCCAGCTGAACCTGGACCAGAACTGGACTGCCACTGTGAAAGGAAACAGATTCACAATGTTACCCAGAGGGCTACTCTATTTTTTGTAATGTTTGCAACAAATAAAGCTGCAGGGGAACACACACCTTTTGACGTTGTCCCTCTCTGCCACTTCGTACGACAGCTCAATATTGGGATAACGGTTACAGAAGCGAGCCACGTCGGCCATCTGACCATCTGAGAGCTGCAGTAAAGCACTTCTGTCTTCATCCTCCATTTCCATGATGTCAAAGATACTCTCCACACCCTGAGAGAAGAGCAACCAGGTCAGTTTTAGTCTGTTTTATCACACCGATGAAGGAAGACTTGATGGAAATGATAAGAAATAATGAATATTGTAAAATATCTTGCAGATAAAATACCAAAGGACTGGGCGGACATGGATTTGATGTTTGTAAAGGAAATAATGAATTTTGTTATTGAGCATCTGTAATTTATCTTTTTCATCAGGAATATTTCCAAACAACATGAAAATAGCCATGGTAATCCCTCTCTGTAAGAGTGGTGAGAAATATATATTTACAAACTATAGACCAATATCCTTGTTGCCACAGTTTTCGAAAATTTTGGAAAAGTTGTTTGCGACATGATTAAATAAATTTATTGATAAACAAAATATTTTAAGTAAAAACCAATATGGCTTTAGAGCTAATAATTCCACATCAATGGCACTCATGGACTTAGTTGAACAAATAACAGTTGTTGATCATAAACAATACTGTTGGTGTTTATATGTAAATTTAAAGAAAGCATTCGACACCACTGATCACAGTATTCTTCTTGAAAAGTTAAACCAGTATGGCATTAGAGGACCAGCACTACAGTGGATATCTAGTTATTTGAAAGACAGGAAACAGTTTGTACAAAATAAATGATATAAGATCTGAACTCTGTGATATCAAATGTGGAGTTCCACAGGTTTCTGTACTTGGACCAAAGTTGTTTCTTTTATATGTAAATTATTTGGTAAATGAGTCAGGGTTGTTGAAGTGTGTTTTATTTGCAGATGACACCACATTTTTTTGTTTTGGTAAAGACATAGAACGTCTGGTGGAAATGATACGAACTGAATTTGTAAAAGTACAATCTTGGTTTAAACTTCATAAATTATCATTAAATTTGGACAAAATTAATTATATGATATTCAGTAATAAAAAGAAAACTATCAATATTTCATTTAAAGTTGATGGTGCTGAAATCTGTTGAGTCAGTGAGGTGAAGTTTTTGGGTGTCATCATTGATGAAAAGCTGACATAGAAATCACACATAAATTAATAACAAAAATAGCCAAATCCATTGCAGTATTGTACAAAGTAAAGGAGTTATTCAATGATAAAGCACTGTTTACATTATATAATGCACTAATTGTTCCACACTTGTTATACTGTCTGGGGGAAAGCATGTAAAACAATTACAAATCCTATTTTTATTTTTTGCAGAAAAGCGCTGTAAGAATTATCACTAGAAAACATTACTGTCACCCATCAAATACATTATTTTATCAGTTGAAATGAATAAAGTTTTACGAGTTGGTTGATTATAATATTTTGCAGGTTATGTATAAGGCTCATAAAATAGTATTACCTTCGATCATCCAATCTAATTTTGTTAAGAGGGAAAGTTGTTATAATCTTAAGGCATTAGAAATGTTTGTAAAACCTAAAATTCGAACAAACTTAAAGGACAGACGTACTTCGGTCCAGGGAATATGATTACGGAATAAATTGGATTTGATTGTAAAAATGATGGTTCAATTAATTTCTTTAAAAGAACGATAAAAATTAATTAAAGAAATTTGAAATTGTATAATTTGTATTTATAAGAGCTGCTGAAGTTTTTGTCCTTTTTACTTGAACATTGTTATTGTTTGAAATTATTATTATTGTTAGTTTTTGTTTTTTTAATAGGGGCATATGTAAGATTTTTTCTTCTTTCTGCTACCTTTCATTTAATTTGATTTGTATTTTCTTTGTATGAGAATTTGTTTTGTATTTTAAATTAAATTAATAAACTAAAGACTCAATCAATCTTACCTTGTCGGTGCACCGCTTGATGTGTTCTGAGGTAAAGTGGGGCAGCTGCTTCAGATACGAGTCCTTGGACCACATGGCCTGAGTGACCATCTGGGCCAGCTCCATAGCAGCCAGGGCAGGACTCAGCCAGCCGTTACTGGACAGCACGTCCACGCAGGCCTGGATCAGACGGATCGCCTACGAACAGCAGATGTGTGAACGTTACATAAACACAGGTCAAACACAGAAACACGGCCGTGTTTAAAAATAAAAAAACAAAACTTCTGAAATGAGAACCTTGCTCAGGATCTCTTCAGTGTCTGACTGGAGCTCAGCGCTCAGCTGCATCCTGGAGAGGTGAGCCTGCAGCAGCAGGTTCGTCTTCACGTGAGGATCGTTGAACTTCGGGTTGTTCAGCTTGTGGGGCACTTTCTGTGCCAACTGAAATAAAAGAATAAGTCAGCGTGACCATTTTCAGTTTTACTGATTTATTTAAAAATGCAATATTTTTTCAAAGTGTTGTCTTTACCTGTCGGAGAAGAGTGTCCTCAAGGTGCCTGATGGGAATGTTCTTATACTCGGCTGCGTTGGAGATGATTTCAATCAACCCTCGGATCTTTGTCTTGGCATTCAGGGACATGCTGAACAACTCTGTCCAACAGAACAGCAACAAAACAGTTAGATTAAAAAAAATGAGCATCAATGCAAAAAAGGGAAGCGAGGAAAGTGCTGCTACAAACCAATGGTGGTGTAGTTGATATAGTAGTACGCTGCAATCATGCCCAAATTGAGCGGTGCCACATCCATTTCATCCTCAATGCTGATGCATTTGGACTGCTCCAGGTCATGCAAAGTGTTTTCCACCAGTTCAGACAGGTGGTCTGAGAGGTGGCGGTGGGACATGCCTACAATGACAGAGCCAACAGCATATTAAGAACAGCTGCAGGTTTGCTCAACGTGCTCAGGTACAGCCAGTTAAAGGAGGGTACACACCTTGCAGGTTGTAGTAGTTGGGGTTTTGTGTCATACGGCGGTAGAGGAACGTCCAGGTCAGGTAGTCCACAGCGTCCTGCTTGTTCTCCACTGTCTTGGTGACGATCTCAGCGTTGAAGTGGTCGTGGAGACAGTGGTCCAAGTGAGACTCCACCGGCAGCGGCTCGTACAGGAACTTCTTGAAGAAGTCCTGAAAAGGAAAGGAAGATGAGCTGTTTGCGCTTTCCTTAAATTAACTGCTTCTATAGAAAGATCAAAGCAGCATGTGTCTGTGTCAAAGTTATAATAGTTTTGGATTTTTCATTATAGTTTAGTTTTATTTTGTTGGCTTTTTTCTTTTAATTCAGTTAGTTTTAATTAGTTTTTTATTTATTTAACCTTTATTTATCCAGGTAAAATGTTTAAGAGTCAATTCTCATTTACAAACTTGACCTGGCTGAGTTTTTACAGTGGATTTGCTTGTTTTTATTAGTAATTATTGCATTTTTAATGCTTAGTTTTAGTTTAGTTTTTATTAGTTCTAGTATTAGTTTTTTTATGTATAGTTTATTTACCAATGCATCCTCCAGCCTGTGATGTTTCTGTGAGTGAACTAACCAACAGCTATTTGGTCACTATTTAAGCAGCCTATAGCAACACCTTCCTAAAATAATTGCGTAACTCTATTTTGCCAACTAAGGACTTGGACAATTATTTTAGGACGATGATAGTCTCCAACCCGGTGCTACCTTCTTGTTTTTCATGGGAGCTACTGAGAGAAGCTAGCATCCAGATAGTCATTAGCCGTCTTGTGCGAGTTTGATTCATGCAGTTTTTTCCTTGAGAAGTAGTCCACCCATTTTATCACCTGTTTCCACTACAAGACACTTGCCTTTATTTTTCTCGCAGTCATATTCAAAGAAATCACAAAGTGAACATTGCTGCTTTCTCCTAACTTTGGTTGTCATCATTCTCCTAACTTTGGTTGTCATCATTTAGCAGACGATGCTGAGCAGCAGACTGTAAACAAGTGTTGTTACAGACCACAGCTAATGTGAAACTACTCGATTTGGAAAAAAATAAATAAATAAAAAGATCCACATGGCTCAAAATAAATTAACAAACACTAAAACTAAGGATATTCTATATATAATTTCAGTTAGTTTTAGTTAGTTATCTGTTTTTCATTTTATTACAGTTTTTATTTATTTTATTTAACTAAAATGATTTTTTTTTTTCAATTTCAGTTTTTATTATTTAGTTAGTTTTAGTTAACTATAATAACCCAGGTTTGTGTACCTTTTTGGAGCCCTGACACATGATGACACAGCGTCCCTCATCATCCAGCATGGGTCTGTTGGCCTTGCCCACCATCTGGAGGACATCATATATGGGATAGTCCACATATCTAAGATAAAATGAAAAAAAAGGGGGTGAAATTCACCAACTTCATAAAAATCAATTAAAAAAAGCTGTTAAGAAAGAAATGTGTGAGAGCCTTACGCATGAATTTTTCCATTGTAGTACTGAGTGTCCATGACAATGACGAGGTGAGCAGAGATGTTGATGCCCCAGCAGAGCGAACGAGAAGATACCACCACCTGAATGGCACCTGCACAAAGACATAAACCATCATTAAACATTTATCAGCTTTTAGTTTTAAACTTCTCCGCTGTTCACAGAGAACGAGTGTCATACCGGAGCTGAAAAGCTGCTCTACGATTTTGCGTTCAGTTGCAGACAGGCCATCATGCAGGTACCCCACGCCATTGGCCAGAGTCTCCTTAAGGGTCGGATCATTTATTTTATCCAGGAATGGAGCCAAGTCCTTTTCGTTACAATGCAAGAACCTAAAGAGAACATTAGATTTGAGCTCATCAAGTCATGACCTGACGTCAGAAATCCCTCCGCTTAGTGTCTGACCTCTGAGGAACGACATCAGCAGCGCAGAATGTGAGGATGTCGATGGCGGTGAGGCGAGTCTGTCTGCGAGACGGGACGAACACCAACACTGGCTTGGAGGGGGAGTGCTTCATGATGGCGTGATATACGGGCTTCGCCATGGACAGCAGGCGGGTCTGAGTGTGACTGACATTAAAACCCTAAAAGAAGAAAGGAAAATAAAAAAGGGGGTTGATGTTTTCTTGATCGTTGGTAAAACTGTTGGATAATATTTGCTCTGCAGACCTGGATGTGCAGCTCCAGAGGCACGGGTCTGACGTTGGGGTGGAAGTTGAACGTAGCGGTGGTGCTGCAGCCCAGCCAGTGGGCCACGTCTTTGGCGTTGGACAGAGACGAGCTCAGAGCCACAATGCGGATGGGACGCTCGATTTGAGAGGAGATGTATCTCATCCTGGAGCAGATGACCTCCAACACGGGCTAACAGCAGAGGGGGGAGGGGAGTAACATTACCACAACAGTCTAATAATGAACACAACACTCAAAACCAAGCAGAACCGGTTCCTTACCCCGTTTTCTCCTCCAATAAGGTGAGTCTCATCCACGATGAAAAGGCTGACGTTCTGGACGTTCTTCCTCTGTTTCCAGCGACGGGACAAGATGTCCCATTTGTCGGGGGTGCTGACAATAATGTCCCCTTTTCCTAAGAGCTTCAGATCTGTGCTCGTCTCTCCCGTCAGCAGAACCACCTTTTTGTTCAGGATGTCCTGGAACTTCTGATGCCAGTCGACGAACACCTGAGACGAGGACCGTCGTCAAATAATGAACCAAATTTAAAAAAAAAATTATATTCAATGAAAACATCTGGTGTGCTTGTAAATGTGAGAGGCTGGTTTTTCAGACCTGTTCCGCCAACGATTCCATCGGTGTGATGTAAACACAGCGACCCTCTGCGTTGTGCAGCAGCATTCTCAGAATGGCGAACTCTGCACAGATTGTCTTTCCGCTGCCAGTTGGAGCTCCAACAAAAACATTATCATCACTGTTGTACACAGCATTGAACACTGCAGGGAGAAAAAGGCAAATCAAACAAGTAAAATATGCTGTGAAAATCAAAAACAAACAAAAAAAAAACATTTAAAGGGTACTTCACCAAGTCAGGGCAGTTTACAGTGTCAGACATTTCATTAACTTGTATCAAAGTCATAAAAATGAACGTTTGGACAAGTTTACTTCCTTTTCTCTGTACCTTGTGTCTGAATAGGGTTGAAGAAGGGGAACTTGTTCTGGTAAAGAGCCTCAAAGGCAGAGTTCCTGAGGGCAGTGACGGGCAGCGGCTGCAGATCCAGCAGCTCAGTGGGTGGTGGGTACTTCTCTGGTAGGATCAGGTGACGGAAAGATACAGGAAGCTGAGTCTCACAGGCTGAGGGAGGAGGGAGAAAACAGAGAAAGCTGTTAGCTGGAGGACAGAGATCATGGGAACAGACGTCTGAATGGAGCTGCTTACAGAGCCATCTGTCTGAGACCACCCGGATGAAGTACTGAGGGGGCAAAGGCTCGAACACGGGGACGAAGAACGTTACCAGGTGCTCATCCTGTGCGTACTTGGCTTTCAGCAGGAAGTACTCGTGGTGGAGGATGACCTCACTGTCTACATCCTCAACCAGGATCCAGAAAGCCTCAGAGGATGCGTGAATCTGAACGAGGAAATAAAGGGAAGTTGGAAACAGCGAGACTCTGAAGCAGCAGTGATGTGTTCGACTCCTGACCTTGTCGTCCCACTGGAAGTCAGGTGTGATGGTGAGCTCCACTTTGAGCGTGGAGCGAGTGATGGGCTGAATGTGGACAGCCAGGTCCAGTTTGGGGAACTGGTGGACATACTTGTGAATGGTCTTACCCATCTTTGGCATTCGGATCAGCTCACCTGAGCAACAAAACAAACAAAGCCAACTACTCGTTACGCAGGCCAAAAAAGATTATTATTAAATGTGTCACGGAGGGAGAAATCCCACCGATTTCATTGTGGTTGAGATCATAGAGACGCTCGAAGGGGAAGTTTTTCTTCTCGATCTTCTTGACCACTTCCTCTGGCAGCTTCTTGAACTGCCGCAGAGGAGACATCGACTGCCACCTGTGGAGCACAAAAACCATTAACAGTTTGCCTCGACACAACCAGTAAGTTCATTAAGAGGTGGAAACACGTACATTCGCTTGTCGATCATCTTGCAGAGATTCATGGTTTTGTCTGTGAGTTGAGCCCAGCCACGGTTAAGCACGATCTCAAATATGGCCCGCATGAGTCGGCCGGCACTCTGAGGGAAGAGCAGAAACAAAGCGACGTGGTTCTAATCTCTGTCATTTTGCATCAAACATCTAAAGACAGTTCGAGGGGACGTGTCTTGCTGCACCTGTGTGACATAAACCATGTCGGCCATCAGAGCAAAACCCTCAAGTTTGAGTTGAGAGATGTACGCCTGGAGCAGAACATTGATCTGAAATAAAAACACAGTTAATACATTGAGTTACCCTCAGTCGACAAAGTTTCATTTGATTAACATAAAGGGGTTAAATGTCAAGTCTTAAAACAACCTATAAATTAAGAACTCCTGTTAAACATTAGTTTATAAATTTACATGTGTTACCTTAGCACTTGGCTCCTCTATGCTCTCCTTCACAGGAATAGGAACTCTCTCCAGGAGCTTCTGAAGCTCCAGCTTTTCCTCCTAAACAAGAAACCAAGGTTATTGTGGCAGTTTTGAATCTAGAGCTTTAATGTGACTTTGTGAAGGAGCTCATTTAAAGCACGGTGTATGTCTGAACACAGCACACCTCTCTGACGGTGATGTTCCTGAACTCTGAGGAGAGGGAAAAGACTCTGAAGAGTTCGATCTCGCTCAGAGTGGGTTTCAGCAGCTGGTTGTAGGTCTGAACCGAGTCGTGGGTGATGTAGAAGTGGCTCGCAATGCGTCCCAGGTCTGTAACCTTTATGAGACAAAAAAATATATAAAAATCCACATTAACACTAATTTAGCAGTGTTAAAATGACAAAGAAACACTAGAACACAGCTTTAGCACTGAGTGACACACCTGGAAGCTGCCTGTCCTCTTGTCATATTTGATGAGGCTGTTTTTGTCCAGGACGCTGGCTGCTGTGTGCACCAGGTCCATCCTGCGCCTCTCCAGCAGCGGGTCGGTGCTCCGGTCATCGTGAGAAACGCCGTACAGTGTGGGGTTACGGAGCATCCTCACGTACAAGTAGGTGTAGCCCAGCCAGTTCACAGCATCCTGCAACCAAAAACACATTAATCGTTCAAAATGTTCAGCTTCCTACACATTAGCGCATGTGTCTGCGACTAACCTTCGCGTTCTGAACATTTCCCAGCACTATCTCTGCATTGAGCATGTCAGGCAGCTTTCCCACCATCTGGCTCTCGATGGGCAGCTGCTGGTTCAGCAGGGACAGATAATACTGGAGCTCTCCGTGAGAGGTGATCAGGATTCCCTCTCCTTTGGTGTCGTACTGAGGACGCCCAGCTCGACCAAGCATCTGACATCAAACATGAAACTGAGTTCAGACCTTCTGAGAGGAGACAAACTGTAGGACACTGTGGATCCCAACAGACCTGTAAGATGTCCAGGGCTCCCAGCTCGGTCCACCTGCCTTTCTCTGGGCTGTAAACCTGGGTGCCTTTGATGATGACAGTGTGTGCGGGCAAGTTGACACCCCAAGCCAGAGTGGCTGTAGAAACCAGCACCTGAATGTGCCGATCGGCAAACAAATCCTCCACCAACGTACGGTCGACTCGGGTCATGCCGGCGTGGTGGATCGCGAAACCATAAGGAAGCAAATCTTTGAGCTCCAGGTTCTGGAGGTGAGGAATTAATCATCTCTTAGATCAAGAAATCAACAACAACAAAAAAAAAAGGTAGATCCACAATTCAAGTTTTCTTACTTTGCATTGCTCCGCCTCAGTCCTCAACACTTCCGTGGAAGCTGAACCCTCCCTGAGGAAAAGACCCAGCGTGTCTTTCTCCAAACACATGTCCCTTATGGCTCTGGCAGTCTTTCCTGTCTCTTTCCTGGAGTGAACAAACACCAGCACCTACAGGGGGGCGGGGGCAAGGAAATGTTACTGTAAATACATCGATTTAATCCCATCACAGATAATTAGTGTTTCTTTACAGAAATTACACCTGGTTCTTTCCAGCATGCTCCATTATCTTCTCATAGACGATCTCGTTCATGATCTGGAAACGTTTGATGGCTTTCTTTTCTGTGATGCCAACATATGTTTGCTCCAGGGGCACAGGGCGGAAACTACAGACAATAATTCAACACTTGAACTGGAATTTGTGATGCATAATAATAATAATAATAAT